GGCTTTGCTGTGCTTAGATAAAATTATGTTATTAAAATATTTTAGGCAAGCGGATTATCCCATTGTAGCTTTTTTTATGTTAACACTCTAACTAAGCTACCCGCTGCAAGTGGCTGTAGCGCATCAAATGTTGCTTCGTGTGGCGCTTCTTGTTGTAATTTCACTTAATAACTGTTTTGTTGTTGTTTATGAAACATTTGCCGACGGCTGTCGGTTCATTTCACACACCAACAACAACACCACAACACTCGCACACACATACGCACACACTAGTTGGCTTTGAGAGCCGGAAGTGAGCAGCGCGCGCGTGTGTTGTCGGAACGGCGTCAGCAGCGGCAGCGGGGCAAGGAGAGAGAGAACGGGACAATTGGACAACTGGGCGCCGCCTGTGGTGTCAACGATGCCATTTGGTTTGGTTCAGTTCGGTTTGGTTTGGTTTATTGTTCCACTTTTCATGTCAAAGTTATTGTAATTGTGTTAAGGCATTTCCCGTGTATATCCTACACACACGCACACGCACGCACACACACACACACACACAGGCTTGTGATACGCTCAGCTATAAATAAAAATCGGAGCAGCGCCGCAAGGCAGAGCAGACACTTGTTTGACTTTGGCTCAGGCGCCATGTTTGTTGCTGCTCTCACGTCACGTCGCTCCCCCTTGTCCAACCAATCCCCCCGCCCCTCCCTTCTCGCTTGCCCTGCACTCCGTGGCCTTATGCGGATGTGTCTGTGTATTTTTTAACGCACATCATTATCATTCCGTTTGTATTTTGAACGGGCGCCCAGCAGCTGCGAGCAGGCGAACTTTGAATGGGCCACCCACCCAACCACCCGACCCAACGTCGCCCCGCATCATCCCACCCCTTCACACACCCACACAGGGGACACACATACAAAAGGACGTGCAAATAAAGGAAAAAGCTTATGGTTTTTGCTGTTGCTCTTGCGCTCTCTCTTTCTCATTCCCATATTCTCCATTGGCATCTCTCTTGCTCACTCGTTGATTTTTGTGTGGGCTGCTCGGAGTGGTATATAAGCCATTGTGTATGTGTGTGTTTGTGTTTGTGTGTGTGTGTTTGTATATACACTCCGAGTACAAATAACAAAAGGATACAACAAACTCTGAACAGAAAGTTTTGACACTTTTATACTTGGCTTGCAGCGACCCGAAACCAACCCAATAACCTGCCCCACACCCCCAAATTTTCTGGGCTTGAGCGTACGTAGAGATGTGGGGGGCGCACAAAACTGTTTTGGGGTGTTTAATGGAGCCTGGCGCGTTTGTGTTTTCAAAAGTCGAGCACATGAGCAGGACTTGTGTGAGTTGTGTGTGTGTGTGAGTGAGTGTGAGTGTGTGTGTGAAAAGAAATGGGTCTATTTGGGCTAATATCATTGTAACTTATGATATTCATATGGTATTATTGCTTCTAGGCAAAAGCATTCAAAGGCAAGCGCGCTTTGTTGCGTTGCAAAATGTAAATCATAGCGTTTTTAATGCTTACAACTATTATAACACATTGCTGATCATTTGGGCCCCTTTAAACAGAGACTTTTTCAGATTTACCTAAATGACTATTTTAATATTATTATTAACGTTGCTTTATGTAGTTTTATTAATACACATGAGCTTGTAGATAACATGCTATCGATTAGACACCTTCCATGACATGTCACTGAGGATGTCATGTAAGCTCTTAACATGGCATCAAGTACGTGACCAATAAACATAATATTAATCACCTTATTTATGCTTAATTGAAGCACAAATTTTAATTTCTTTCGAAAATTATAACTAAATTACTATAAATTATTTATTTATAAATGTAAATTAAAATATAGCTCTTACCCGCTGCAAAAATGTCATTAAAGTTGAAAATGTATCCAAACGCTAGTTTCATTTTTCTCTTTTTTTCCTTTGATATGCACTCGTTTTCAGTTACTCTCTTTTCAAAAAAAAATAATGGGTTTACCTTCTCTTAATTAAAGAGAGTTTTTATTTACGCAAGCTAACGTGCACATGTATGTATGTATAAATGCATATGCCATCCATGTCCAAAAACGCTGTCATTGATTTAATGCGGCGAATTGATGTAACGAAAAAATGCACAAAAGGGCGCAAGCGGAGCTATTTTTTTTTTCGCACTAGTTACGCTTTGACTTATTTTGTTTCTTTCTTACGCACACTTCATTCGCTCTCATTGCCAAAAGCGATCGCCGCACGAAAAACATGAGAAAGGCACAAAAAGAAAAGGGAAAATAAATGCGCAATTGATAATTTACATGCGGTTTTCTTAAGCTAAAGAAGCAAAAGAAAATGTATTAACTGAGACACTTTTAAATTTAACAAGAGTTGTGCGCTTACGCCGACGGCGATCATGAATCAGCTTTTCTGGCTGTGTGCACTATTTTGGACGTGTTTTCTGGTATGATATATGATAAATAATTAATATATATACATATGTATGTTTCTTACGTTTTCAACACTTTATCACTAAATACGTCCATTTTAGCAAACAATCAAAAAGAACAATGAAAAACACCGGGTTAAAAATGCAGCTTCACCGCCGACGTCTGCTGCTAAGAAGCGAATTATAACTAATTCGACGAAACTGCAGCGACGCATTTCGCTCCCATACGGTGAAATATACATATGTACATACATACATGTAGGCGGCGAATTCGACTTAATGCTGCGAGCGTAATTAAATGATTTCCAGAGGGACCATATGATTTGTATGTAACAGCATTAGAGGCGAATTGAAGAATGGGCTGCAAATTAAGATTTTCGCCTTTGCAAATAAGGCCAAGTGCCAATGCAATAAATACACAGGAAAACACAAAAATATCACATTTCATGCGAATAAGTATGAAGTTTCAGCTATGGAACAATAGCTACATAGTATGTATGACGTCCACATCCAAGTAGTCTATTTCAATATACATACATATATATATATTCGCCATTTACATAGCGCACACAACTGTCTTTACTTCAATATACTTTGTAGAAACACGACAGACGCGATGATCTCCAACATCAATTCTTTTAACATAAGGCACTGCTATGGAGGCTTCAACTATGAGAACTACCTGCGGTAAGAGACATTTGCACAACAACCTGTTCAATTTAATGCCCAGAAGATCCTCTGCAGCAACGCGGAGCTGATGCAGACAGGCTTCCATCCGCCGCTGCCGTTTAACAGTGGCACCACCGTGGTGGGTCTGCACTTCAACAAGGGCGTCATGATTGGCACCGACACCAGGGCGACGCGCAGGAACATAGTCAGCTCGGCTGAGAGTCCAAAGATTCGTCGCCTGCACAACAATATATAGTAAGTGTGAAATTTGTGACAGATCTGAGATCAATTAACCCGCTCAATCATGCCTAGCTGTGGGGGCAGTGGCTATGCCAGCGATTTGGACAATTTAACGCAATTGCTGGAAAAGCAGCTGGAGCTGCATTACAAGACCATCAATCAAAGGCATGTGCCCGTCGTCTGCGCCAAGCAACTCACCAAGGAAGCCCTAATGCAGCACTTGGGTCGAATTATGGTCAGCTTTGTGCTTGGCGGCGTGGACAGGTCTGGCGTGCATCTGTATAGTGTGCACTTCGATGGCACATCCGAGAAGTGTTTGTATAACTCTGTTGGATCCGGACAGTTTGGAGCCATGGGCATACTGGAGGATCGCTGGCAGCTCGGCCTGGAGGAGGACGATGCACGCGAACTGATGGTCGATGCCGTCACCGCAGGCATTAACAATGATCTGGCCTCCGGCACTGGCGTGGATCTGTGCATCATACGCACCGACTACACTGTGGAGCTGTGCAGCGAGGTAGTTCATGGCCCCTTAAGGACTGACCGAGATAAACTACCAGACAAGGAGCGTAGCATGGTGCTCATACGCGAAAACGTGCTGCGTTGCATAGAGATTACTGAGGAAAATGTGATTCCCCTAAAGCCGGTGACACCAATGCCGGCCACAGAGACGCCGTCGCCAAAGCCTCCGATTAGACGAGATGAAGTTCGAAGAACAGTCGCCACAATGCGACTTCAACGCAAGCGTAGCGCAGAAGATTTTGACGACGAGGGACCGCCCAAGAAGAGAAGAAGCCTTTCGATATAATAAGGACATTTAAGCATGTATGGATTTAGGGACCATAATTTTAAAAACACTTAAATATTATCCCTGTACAATCGATAAAGTAGATATATGTATATATGAGCATATAAACCAGTAAAAAAATTAATTATGTGATACACCCAACTCGAACCATATTTAACACACTTACCATTATGTCCGAGCAGTGTTGGTAAGCACTCAGACAACGACTTGGGCATCTTTAGTTACCGTTATTGTCCTTGGCCAGTGTGGGTAAGTGCTCATTTCTCCTGCTCGGCTTGAGAGCTTCAACGGCGGCTTCTCTTTTGCTTACATTTTATGTTGTGTATTTAATGACATTTATGTACTTTATTCTTGGTTTTTTTTTTTTGGGTTAACAAAATTGATGTACATAAAAACGTTTATTTTGTGTTGGCTCGCATTGCACAAAAAATTACATAATTTGACATTGCCAGTTGCCCATCGATCAGCGCATATTTCATGTTAGTTTCACGTTCCTTAATTGATAATGAATAGTTTTTGTTATTTGAGAAGCCATACTCTTTTGCGCATTGTTATTGCACTAGAAGTGAGTTGAATTTTGGAAATTTTCTTACATTTATCATACTCTGTACAGGTAAAAGATTTTTACATTTCTGTTGCTCGGGAGTTGTCTATAAATCCGTTATAATCAATTATTCAATTATATAATTATAATCAAACAATCAATGTGTTTTCACATACATACATATTCACCTAGTTAGTTTCTCCTACGCGTTACCCGGACCCAGCATATTCGCGCTATAATTATGTTGCTGATTTTAAAAATGTTTTCTTAGTCGTTAAATATATATATATTTATATATATATATTGTTTTTCTATTTGTGTTGCTATTTATTTTCTTTGAATTTTTCAATATATATATATATATTTGTTGAAGTTTTATTGTATAAGCAGCCTGCAGATTTGCTCAACGACGGTTTTTAGACGCTAGAGGTGAAGTTTTGTCTTCTTTTGATTTATACAAAGTTTCTCAAACGATTTTCAAACGAAATGCAATCAAAATTTCATACTAAACTTAACTTTCATTCATCAAACATCTTACATACACGGTGTAAAAATACAAACTAATCATATTGATTGGCAACAAATTATATACACATCTGGTATATAAATCATCTGCCGTTTCTATATGTATATAAATATATCAATCATTTTCTATCGTTTTTTTGTTTTTTTTTTTTGCTGTTGCGCTACTTAAGATTATTGTACAAGCAAATCAAACGAAACATTTTCAATATTCCCAAAAGAAAAATGACAACGAACAACTCGTCAAAACAAAACATGGAACCACTCGGGATCTTGACCAACTCCTCTCCTCTCACTCCAGCTCCCGCCAGCGTTCCTCTACTGATACTCGTCGTCGCTGCTTAGCAGCATCGTCTTCTCGTTGTAGTTCTGGCTAATGGTGGCCACACGCTGTCCGCCCGGAATAAATTTACGCTGATTTCCGAGCGTCTTGGATGCCACACAGCTGTTGTTGCCGCCGCCGGTGGCCACCGCATTGTATCCACCGCTGCACGCATTGGAGGCGCCCATGGAGGCGGCCTGGTTGCCGCCGCCGCCGCTGTTCGGATCATCTGGGTCGTAGCTGGAGATGCGTATGCCGCGCGAGTTCTTGCCACCTGCACGAATTAGTTATTAGCCAAAGCTCACATAAGTAGATAAGTCGGAATTACAATAGATCGAAATTCATGCCTTGTAAGAGAACATGCAAAATGCGGGCTTATAAACATTGCAAGCAAAGTAAATGCGACGTTTTTAAGCTTATTGTACATTTATTTAATATAGATAATTTATAGATATTTTATACAATTCGTTTAAACATTTACAAAAGTTATCAAAAAAAAAAAACAAACACATATGCACGCGAACTTAAAATGCACGAGCTTTCGATTTGAGTCTATCACAAAAAAGGAAATCAAAAAGCAAACAATGTTCTTCTAAATATTTTGTTTTTGGTATCTTTGAGCTAACGGATATTGTAATCGAAAGATCTTTAAGTTCGTAGTTTAAAAATTTAAATGCATTCATAAGCTAAGTGTAAATAACCGCAAGAAACTGAGCGTTGCTTGAAGATTCTGATATAAAAATTCCACAAAATTGACAAGTAAAAATTGGATTTAGATATCTGTCTAAAATGTGTGTTAATCTGGGCCCATTTTTAGTACAAGCTAAGCTCCATTTGAATCTGTTTGTATTGCCATTTCTACAAATAATTACATACCATATATAATAATAAAATCTTTGTTTACACATACATAATATTATACAATATTATCCATATATATACATATATATATATAGAAATATATATATGTATATGTATAGTATGTATAGTAGAATGCTAACATTTAAATAAGTTGATAAGAGACTTAAATCGTAACGTAAACATAATTTAAAAAATACACAAATCAGCAGAGGGTTGGTTGTTCAAGGCATGTCTTTTAAAGGTTTTAGAGTACATAATTCAGATACATAAAGTTCTAAGGTAACTAGGCAATTTCTGTTTTGGGTTTTCGAGTGCGCGCTTTCAGTAAGTAACTAGGCCTAATACGTATTTAATTGTTAATCGCTTTTGTTTTTAGTTTATCTTTAAGCGGCAACAAAAGGCAACTGTGGTGTCAAATTGTAAGCCTATAATAAGCTATAAGTACACTTGATTTGTCTTTATCTGCTTATATAATTTGTTGTTATTTTTTGTTTGTCCCTCCTGTTGATTTGGAATTATAATTAAAGTGTTTAGTAGCGGACATCGCTAGAGTTTTTGTTTTGTTTTGTATTTTTGTATTTTAATAAGAGTTTTAGAGTTTTTCGTAACGTTGAGTTGAGGTTACGTCTGCAAAAGATAAGAAACAGAAAGAAAAACAAAAGTGTAAAACATAATGATAATGTAATGCGAATGAAAGCAAAATAAAAGATAAGATTAACAACAATAGCTACAGAGAGCGCAGGCAACAGACATTCAGAAGACAAAAGGCAGAAAGTACACTGAACAAAATCGATGCATACCTGAACTATATTGCGTATATTGCTGGTACTGCGGATGGAAATTGTGTATAGCATCTGTCATAATATCCTTGGGATTCATGGTTTCCTACGAAATACGAAAATGGTAAGCACCTGCTCTTGCCAAGATAATGATTTATATGGCTTACCTTGAGACTGCTTGAGATGGACTGCATAGTCACAGAGCGTCCATGGCCGTCACCAATGCAGCTGCGCGCATAGACCTGCAAATAGATAGGTAGATAATAGATTAATAAATAGTCATTCTGCTGCTTATATATAAATATCTTCAACAATGGAACAGGCCTCACAATCTGTATACATAATAAGAAAGTTGAACATGTTCCTGCATTGTTCATGATATCATCATCATGATATGCCCATGCTTATTGAGTAACTTATTTACAAATTGAGCTACATTATAAACAAATAGGGAATCTACCATATGAGTCACATGACACGCATGACTGTAGCTGCATTAAGCCACAACAATAGATAGTTAAATTGTAAAAGCATTTGTTGTGATTGTGAAACTTTGTAGTCCGTCATTCGTGCGTGGCACATTTCGCTGATAAGCGACTTGGATCTTATCTTATCCGTCGCCCGACTATATCTTAAGCACATAAATACCTGTCAAATTTTACAAGCAATTCACTCACCTGATAGGGGAAAGCATAGCGCAGCGCAATGGCTGCAAACAGCATTTCAATGCATATGAAAAAGTTCTGATAGCCAGCGGAAACTGTACCCGCCGAGGTGACAGTGCCAGCACTGTCCACAATGGGCGATATGACCTGCGCCTTCTCGAGTATGGCCAGACCCACGCCCTGCCAGAACGACAAGAATATGACAGACTTGATGGTGCAGAACTTCAGTACGGGCTCAAACGGTGTCAGCAGATCGCGCGTAGCAAAGTAGAACAGATATAGGCCATACAATGCCAGCGATACGGAAATGTTGTAGATGATGGTTATGTAAATGTATCCACCATCGGCGCTGTAAAGGAACCGGCAGACATTTAGCAAGCATTTAAGATGATTAGTAATCAAATACATACCTCCAATCGCCATCATGATAATGTCCAAAGGCCTGCAAAAATATGATGATAAATGCCACCAGCGGCTTAACCAAGCAGAACTGCAACGTGGCCTGCTTACAGAAGCGCAGAAACCCAATAGTGTATGTCTTGCCCTTGAGACAGCAGGTGCCATACAAACAGGAGGTCTTTATGGGCTTGCCGCGTATCTCAGACATGATGTTACCCTCGCCGCCGAGATATTCATAGCATAGCGACAGAAAGTTATAAATTACAAAGGCTGTAAAAACGAAGTAGGATTAAAGCAGACTGTGGCCCGAAAGCGATTATGAGCAGAACGCACCTTCGTAGCAATCGCGAACCGTGAAGAAGTAAATGTAAACGTTGTCCGAGTTAAAGAATAGCAAACTAATCCACGAGTAGGTCGCATAGATGGGCACAATGAACAGTATGCGAACTATCCAACGCTGCTCCTGAGGATTGGTGTACCAACGTAAATGCTGATAGATCTGTAAATGGATATGCGATTAGTTAATCGTGCAGCGGATATATTTCGATGATAAATTGCTACCTGTTGACACGTGACAAACAGCGCCGCCCAGACAAACACGCCTGCCAGCACCTGTGCGGTCTTCGTTTGCAGGAATATGCCATCGCCCACGTGCAGGAGGGGATCCAAAGGCTCCTGTGCGACGCTCGACGGGCTTTTCATTTGTACAACGTAGTTCGTATTCGGTTTCAGGGTCGTCGATGCAGCAGTTGCGTTGCCAGCAGCAGCAGCAGCAGCAGCGGCAGCGACGCTGCTCACAGTTAAAGCCGCCTCGATGAGACTGGCCGGCGTTGTGCTCATTCTGCCGCAATGAAACAAAGTTGAGAATTAGATTATGATGAAACAGAAAATGTTAGTATTAGGATTAGGCACACAAGCAGTATGTTTACTTTTCGTTTATTTTTTGACAATCCACACGAAACTTTTGCCAGCTCCGACACGCCACAATTGTAAATGTGAGAGACTTGCAATGCTCGCCAAATGGGGTCAGCAGCTAAATGTGGGGCAGTGGGGAGGCACGCATTAGATCATCATCATCATCATGGTGATGATGATAGTAAACATAGCGACTAACACGCAACGCAACATTATTAAATGGACTTTCCTTGGGCGGCTAGCGTGAAAAGTTTCCCGCTCAGGGCCAACTCTAACGGCTCCATATCGATTCTATACTAGATCTATGGACAAGTATGCAACGTAACTAAATACAGCTGTGTTCCCCGATCAATAAACATGTGTCAAACAGGCTGTATACACGCGAAGCTGCTCAATGGCAACGCAAATCGGCAATTATATATGCATTATGGCACTAATTTTCAATTAAACGCACACTTATATGCTCGGTGCGCCGGTTCATTCAACTGAAATCAGTCGGAAACGATACAGATTTTAATTTAAATGCTGCATGGAGAGTTTCAAATCTAATTGAATCGAACTTCATGCAAAACTAAATGAAATATTCATGTGTTATGTTGGGTGGAAAGCGAGAAACCTGTGCAATGCTATTTCCAATCTGCTCAACAAGCAAAAAGTGCTCAAAAAAGTGTTTTAAAACTTGTTACCTCAAAATCTCTACAAAATCAGTGTGGGCTAAGGCATTGAAGATTATCGAAATATGCAGTTGTAAACATTTTCCACTCGACTAGGCAAGCCGCTAAGCAAAATGGTTGAGGAATTTTGAATATAATAACTGCGGTATTTCAGCGACCGCTATCGCGTTTATTCGAAAACAAAGAAAGAGTACGCAAAATACAAAAATAACACAAAAATGACTCAGACATGTGAACGGGAACTGGATACTTAACCTGAAGTTAAGCGAACTGTTTTCTGTCCGAGACAAAATCTGTTATTACACAAATCATTATCATATATAAACTCTGTGACACTGAAACCCAAAAGGTGTGAAAAACGAATCTGCAATAACAGTAGAAAAGAGTAGAGCAAAAAGAGAAATACACAGAATAAGCAGAAGCGAAGAAAAAAAGCAACAACAAGTTGCTGTCTGCTAAAGATACAGCAGAGCTATTATATTGGCACAAGGCAAGGTCTCCGCAAGCAAAAGTCTCCACTGGGCCAATTGAAGTCGCAGCGCGGAAGCGTTTTTGACAGACACGAAGAAAATGCCAACAGTGTGTATGTGTGTGTGTGTATGTAGATTTGTGGGAGTATGGGCCGAAATCAAAACCAGCAACAATTTCAGCCAGTGCTAATTACATTTTTGGTACGGGGGGTGCAAAGTTATCTACTTTGTGAGGCTTCTGCTTGAGCAGTCAAATTGATTTTCGAACGTGTCCAAAATATTAGCCACACACTGTAAATAAATACGAGGCTTAAATGCCAACATATGCGACCTTTCTGTTGGGGGGAGACTTGTCGCTGCGCTGCTTATCAAAACCCACACACACGCACGCATTTGGCTCACTCACACCTGCTTATCAAATGCGAATAATAACGTCGACGACGTTGAAAATAAAAATACGCACACACACACACACACTCATCAAATTTCGTCATCAAAAATGGGTATTTTACTTGCAACACGTCCATTTCAGGGAAATCAACTTTTACACACACATAGACACTTAGCTACACGAACACGTTAATGCAGTTTAATTACCTCTTTTAAGTGCAACTTTTCACAATTTGCTTTTGCGTTTAATTTTCACAGCTCGAAATTCCGTTTAATTTTGCTCCAACAATTGCTGGCTAATTTTTTTTTTCTTCTTCGTCGCTGCGACGCGAGCTGACGTTCGTGCTCCTCTGCTGTTTAATAGGGGACAAATTAAACACCGTCACAGCAAAAATACAACACATAAAACCAGCACTCTATTTGTAATTTATTTACGTGCTGATTTTATATATAATGCACACCAAATTTCAGCAATTTTTGGCAATTCACTAACATGCGAACCAGGATTGTTGATACATTAACGATACTGACGATGATTTTTTCACTTTCAGGGATGGGATTTTCCATATCGATATATTTGACAGTGCCAACAGCTGTGAATCGATATTGCGATACTGAGATCAGCAGTGTTGCAAAACTGCTGGGCTATCAAATGCGTTATCGATATATGTACAAGATTTAGCCATGGAATCAAAACACACATTTTGTTTACTTATCTGCGTTGAACTTTGAACTGCCGTTGCAGATCGCCACTACTGGTTGAATAATGTAAACACAGTTTAGACTCCCAGCAACATGGACTTTCGTAATGCCCGGGCACGGCAGCCCGAAATTGTGCGCTCAGTACAAAAGGATGCACGCTACACCAACGAGCTGTCCGAGGATTTGTCAGATATTTTGCGTTTAACAGGGCCTCGAAACTGGATCAAATATAATCAGCTGTGTCAGTTGATAGCGCAGCTGAGCTATCATGGTTTTGCCTCGCTAAACAATCTGCAAACGCTGGGTGAGGAGTACACGGGCATTATACAGGTCGACGGGAAGTATAAACATATTCCCAGCCGATTGGTAAGAGCATCAATAAAACTATAGTTAAATCCTAATTGAGCTACTTTCTGCAGCTGCAGCTGGTTGCAATCATATTGGAATTCGGTGGAGATGCCTTGTTTCTCCGAGTGCTGCAAAAGCTGGAGCTCCACATAGCCGAACATGATGAAATTGTGCCCGACGCCAAGAAAAAGCTGCACAAGCTGATACAGTACATGCGACAGTCTCCTAGTTATATCAAGGCGCTTCACAAGTCGATATTTTATTTGGATGCCGGCAAGTATCAGGTGTCCAAGCGTGTCACGGGCATCAACTACGTTCTCATCCGGCACTGGCTGCAGCCCGAGTTCTCGCTGTACGGCTACAAGATTCTTGGCATCATCACATTCCTGCAAGTCACCGTCTCGCTGGCTATTGGCGGCTGGGAGGCGTGGAAGGAGCACAAACGCCAGCAGCTGGAGGCACTCAAACAGGCGACCAAAGGCTTTCTGCAGCGTGAGACGAGCACCAAGTCCTTGGCAGTTGATGTGCCGCAGTGCATACTTTGCCTGGAGCCGCGCCAGAGCACCAGCCTAACGCCTTGTGGCCATCTCTTCTGCTGGAGCTGCATACTCGACTGGCTGGAGGAGCGCGACGAGTGTCCGCTGTGCCGCGAATCACTGAAAAAGTCGCAGGTGATACAGCTGCAAAATTACGCCTAACTATTTAAATGTTTTTATAAACTTTAATTGTATCTTCATCATACAGTTGTGTATAGTAATTTATTGAAGCTTTAATGTACAACGTTTAATAATAATGATATTTAACAGCTTTGGTGGCATTTGACAATAGTGCCATCTGCATTTTGGCTTATCACCCTGTTTGCCATGGTGTCTAACCTAAACCTAACAATATATATTTACATTTATTATTCGATTTTAGTCGCCGAGCCCAGACTTAAATAATGTCTAGATAAACAGTGCGATTGAAGATTTGCTTGCGCCGCTTCGACTCGAAGGCGGAGCGCGCCTCCGAGGGCGATTCAAAGGCGACGCGCGCATCGCCCGTGGGCTTGCCGTCATCGTTGAAACGACGTATAATATCATCTGGGCTGAGCTTGTAATCGCTAAAGAAACGCAGTATGTCCTTCAGGTCCGCCTTGAAGGGAACGTTGCGCATGGCCACCACGCAGCCGGCGCGATTAAACTTGTCGGGTATACCATCATCCTCCGGGCCACCGTCGCTGCCGCCACCATTGTTGGTGGCCGCCTTAATGCTTGAGCTGAGCATGGGTGAACTGCCACCTAGGTCATCGGGACCCAGCTCTGGGCCGACACGCTTGGCAAATGGATTAAAGTGCTGCTTGGAATTGCTGCTATCGTCGCTGTCCAGCTGCGGTTGATTGCTGCCGCGATTGCCGGCATCATCAAAGCGACTAGCACCACGACGTCGCGAAGATTGTTGTTGCTGTTGCGGTTGCTGCTGCTGTATGGGCGATGACAGGGCATCGCCTGAGTCCGTCTGGCGCGGCCCGTTGCCGCCGGGCAAGTAGTCCATAAACGGCTTGTGCATGCGATCGGCAATCTCTTGCGGCGTAATGGGCGTCAGGCGCAGGCCACGCCCGCGAAAGCGACGATTGTGAAACTCTCGGATGGCAATTTTGGCATTGAGCGGATCGGCAAATTCCACAATGAACTCGCCGGCGCTCTGATTACGCTCATTGAACAGCATCTCGATGTGCTCAATGCGCAGATTCTCCGAGACAAACAGCTCGCCCAGATCGTTAATGCGAGTCGCATATTCACAGTTGTGGACGCGCACAAACACGTCCTCCTGACGGCGTGGATGTCCTCCCCCCTGCTGCTGCTGCTGCTGTTGTTGTTGCTGCTGTTGCATCTGTTGATTGTTGGGTGGCATGCCGCCGAATGGTCCCATGTTGTTGCCGTTGTTCATCATGTTCATGGCGTTACCGTTATTTTGCTGCTGAAATGCAAAGGGCATGTTACCGTTATGCATGGCAGTGTTGGCAAACGGTTGCAAATTGTTATGGCTGTTGTTGTTGTTGTTGTTGGTATTGCTGTTGTTGTTGTTGTGTGTGTGAGCATTTTGTTGTTGTTGCTGCTGCTGCTGCTGCTGCGGCTCGTGACTGCGTCGACGCGGATCATTGTTGAATTTGGTCATGGCCAATAAAAGCTCCTGGGGTGTTATCTGTTGCTGTTGTTGTTGTTGGAGTAGTTGTTGTTGGAGTTGCAGCTGCATCTGCTGTTGTTGTTGTTGCTGTTGTAGCTGTAGTTGTTTGCTCACCTGCTCGCGTTCGGCATCTTCGCGCTGCTGCTGCTCCTCCTTTTGCAGCTGCTCGCTGGCGCGCCGCATCTTTTCCCTGGCATTCTGCATCTCTGCCTGGCTGCTGGCGCGCACGCGCAGCTTGCGGAAGCCAATGTAATGCCGCGAGGCATCCTCCAGCGCGGAGCGTGCCTCGTTCTCGCGCGCGAACAGCACAAAGGCAACGAATTCCCGGCGATTGTTAGGACTGGGCGCCAACAGGATGTCCACAATGGTGCACGTGGCCGAGAACATTTTCATAATATCCTGCTCGGTGGTCATCTGCGGCAAATCCTCCACGTACAGTACATTAGTTTGCTGCACTGCAGCAGCCACTGCCGAGGCACGGTCATCGCCCCGGAGTGACCCTCCACCGCCACCACCGCCGTGGCGCTGGGCACGCTCATCGGCCTGCTCGAACTCCTCGTCGCTAATGGGCACAATTTGTACCAGCCGATCCCGGAACAGGGTGTTGTTACGCAGCACCGCCTTTTGAGCGCTGGACACGCGCGAGAACTCAACATAGGCAATGCCCGTCCGTGTGCCATTCGCTCCGTTCACGATCTTGATGCCATTGTGCGGTATATAAAGGCCGGCAAAGTACTTGCGCAGATCACTGTACGATGTGCTGGGGCACATGCCGCTTATCTTGATGTAGCACGTCTCCGCAATGGCAATGGGAGCAGATAAGCCGCCGGCAGCACCACCACTGCCGCCACTGTTGATGCCGCCAACACCAGCTGCACCGCCGCCAGCAGCTGCCGCAGCGTGTGAGCCTGGTGAGTTGGCCATGCCTGGCGCCGTTTTGGCCGCCTGCTGCTGCAGCAGCAACTGCTGTTGCTGCTGGAACAGCTGAGGATACATTTGGGCATACGGATTGACATTGGCAAAGGCAATTGGCTCCGACTGTTGCTGGGCCGTAGCCGCAACTCCGGTGGTTACCTGATTCTTGGGCTGCCCTAGGTCAGCCATCATGGCGAGCTGTTGCTGCTGCTGTTGTTGTTGTTGTTGTTGTTGTTGTTGTTGCTGCTGCTGCTGCTGTGGAGCAGCTGTCAGATTGAGATTGTAGTTGTTGGTGGTGACATTGCTGGTGGTGCTATAGCTCTGCAGCACGGGCGGCAGCACGCTCATGACGCCCATTTGCTGCTGCAGGCCCGGCAAAGCGCTCAGGCCGGGCAAATTGACTGCGGGCGCAGCAGAAGCAGCAGCTGGCGGAGCGCTGGCGCCCAGTGCCCAGGGCAGCAGATTGGACACGGCGCCGATGGGCATCGCCAGCGGCTTTGGCAGCACCTTGAGCTCACGCTCGCTGCTGTCGCCGCGCAGCTCGGAGCGACGCTTGCGTCCACGATCGCGTGACGCACGATCGTGACTGCGATCGCTGTCATCGGAGCTGCTGGAGCGGCTGCGACTGCGACTACGGCTGTGCGGCCGGCGACGTGCGCCAAATGGGGCCAGCTCGGATGCTGGCTTCTCAGCTTTGAGGCCGCCCACATCGGCCAGTGAAATGCCTGCCTGCTGCTGATATGCCAAAAATGAGGGCGTGGACACAGTTCCCAGCGCTGCCGCTGCCGCAGCCACGACCGGAGCCAGCTGCTGCTGCTTGAGCTGTTGGCCCTGTTGCTGGCCGAGCAGAAAGCTGTTCAGACCGCCAATAATTGGCGGCTGTGGCACTGGCGGCATTGATACCGCCGACGCACCCGAAGCCGCCGCCCCTGGCTTGGCCGTGGGCGTGGCAGCAGCAACGGCGGCTGCAGCGGCGGCAGCAGCAACGCTCACTTTGCGCGCCGTCTCGATGACCTTTTGCATTTCGGCGCGCGATGAGAGCAGCAAACGCACCTGAACCTCCATCAGTTTCTCGCGATCCTTGAGCATGGCGCAGCGTGCATCCTCGTCGGTGCTGTTGGATGTTCAAGAGAGAAGAGAAGCAACAAATAAGGGCAAGTGCTTAAAGTTAAAGGATAACAGTTGATAAATATACACATATACATATATATACATATATATATGTATGTAAACATAAATGTTACAGATCTCTAGTGCAACTGAACTGTATCTAGATCTGCCTAGCCGGATCCGCTTGAGTTGCTACATACACATTTACATATAAAGAGTGATAGAGAGAGAGAGATCAGAGTTAGCTAACTACCTGAAAGCGATGAATGCGTCGCCCATTTCGCCACCGATTATGTGAACACCGCCCTCCGGTATCGAGAGGCCCGTGAAGAAATTTCGTATGTCTCGGGCATTTGCCGTCCACGGCAGGTTTTGCAAACGAATAATGACACTCATCTTGATTCAAGACTTTTGTTTTTGTTGCAGTTTATTTTTTATAGTTTTCTTTTGTTCTTATTAAGTTTTTTGTTTGTACTGATCAATGAATCAGTTAAAAAGCTTTTGGCCAGCCTCTTGTAACACTTGTATCCCTCTCATTTGGGCAGTCCCACGACCAGCTAGCCGAGTCCCAGCCAGTTTCCAAGCATCTGAAATTAGAATCACAGTCTTATGGAGAAAATGCCAGCAACAATTTTTACATGCTAATGTATATAGAGAAAATAATAGTTCATATTTTAAAACAAGATCTGGTTAAACTATTAGAACTTAAACAATTTGGAACATTTTCCAAAGTTATATTTTAGGCAATTCATATTCGATTCCGATCAAAATCAGATCAATAATAGGATCAGCAGAGGGTATTGGGGGGACAGCCTGGATATACATATACATACGATTTATCAGGACAACGATTTGTGTGGATATATATATGTATAAAAGACTGTTAATTTTCAAGCTTGCATTGCATTTATCTGTCTTTTTTCTTCAGGCAATATCTACGATCCGGCTAATATGGATCTTACAACTATGCCATAAAACTGTAACAAGAAACTTCCCCAAAAATCCACAATTCAGGCATTGAAAAAAGCCTTAACTCCTAGATAATTCGAACCAAACTTAGGAGCAACGAGCTCCAATAGGCCCCTTATCAGCATCGAACTGCTATATCATATTGTTCCAGTAAGATTATCAGATTGATTTTTGATTTACGAGATATAAATCTTATTAACATCCTGAAAATTATATCTATAACTCGGAAAACGAGTGTAGGAAAATAATGTCCATTAATATATCTTATATTTTTGGATATAAAAATATATCACGATATATATTTTTTTTAAGACATTCAATTTTTAATATGGATCTAAGTTAAACGTTGTTAATAACATTTGGTTTATCTATAACTTTTTATCTTTATCTCGTAAATAAAGTGTATGAAAATATCATCTAAATATATATCTCATAGCAGACATATTTGTACTATGTTTTTATAAACTCTATTTTCGAGATTTGGATATAAGTTAGACTTTGTTCGTCGGATTTATTTTATCATTTGCAATCAGATCTTTGATTTAATAAACTGATGTGTAGCAGCTCGTAAATATCATACATATATATATAAATATATGTACAAATACCTTTATGCTAGCTTACCTTATGTTCTATGTGAAGAGCCCCCTCGTACCCCTAATTTTCTATTCTCTGTTGAATATTTCAACTCTTGTTATTTTCGATAAGACAGCTTCTAAACTAGATATTCGCTCACGTAATACTTTATTCTAAACCATTTTAAGCTAAACTTACCAAAATTTCGATTACCAAAACAAACAACATATTTTTAAACTTTTATGTTATTAATAAGACTAAACTAAAAAAAAATTATTGCCAAAAGCTGAAAATCTCATGAAAATTTATATACAGCATTGCGAACCTCATGAGAATTTTGTTGTTTGCTGATCAATTATTATATTCCATATATAAGTATATATTTGTTTATAATTAAATATGGATACTTTATTTTTAACTGGCTTTGAGTTTAAATGTCCCTCAATAAAGATATTTCTATACCAAACTGATCTTTAAACTATTCTGGCAAGATCCGGCGCTTGTTTTTGAAGACAAAAAATTGTTATTAAAAAATTGCTATAACAAAGATTGAACGGCAAGGCACTTAAATAATTATAAACTGTAAGAGAATGTGATTAAATTCTAGCAGACAAGCATCAGGCAAACTTCATATTTCTTATAGGGGTAGAATGCTTTCAAAGGGTTTTTTTTTTAGAAATCCATAATTTGGCTAAAATCCTTAGAATTCTCATAATTTGAATACAATCCGTAGAATGTTACATTTGGAGCCGCAAGCTTACCAATAAATCCAACATATTTGTGTCCCGTTTCTCCCATTTCTAACATGAAGCACATATTGTATACCACTTCCATTTCCCCCTCTTGCTGGCATTCCCACCTGCTCCAATGAATACCTAATGTCTGTCAACTGTCATTACGAGCCAGATTCTCATAACTGACTGTGTCTTTGTTTGGCAAGTCGGGCGACGGTTTCTGTTTGGGGCGTGTGTTGCATAAGAGGACCAGTTTGTTTTCTGTTGCAATGATTGGAGCGACATGTTGATGCCATAAGTTGTGACTGGTTAATGAAATTAGAAAGATTTGCACAAATCGTCTTGCACTTACCCAGACAGCGCGACCTTCCCGCTCCGAATGAAGGTCGCCCAGGAACTGGCCACCAAATATGATGCTACTGTGTCCCTAGCCTATAGGCTCCCAGCAGCCGCAACAACAAACTGAGCGCGATCCGACTGGCGTTAAGCGTTTGCAATTTCCTCATTAGACGCACTCAATTACCTGTTAATGGTGCGTTGGGGCCGAAAACGTAAACTGTCTCCCCATAAAGAAATGCGCGCCAAACCAGTTGATCAGATTGAACGTAATTGGAAAGCGATTATGCAGCTACAATTCAATTCGCATTTGCGGCCACGCTCCGTTCCACGGTTTGTGGCAGCGGACATGTGCAACAACAACAAACGACAACAACAACAACGAGGAGCGACAACAACGACAAATTATAGCACAAATATAAATGAGCAGCCCGATCGCCAAGTGTGCGTCCAGGAGCAGTCGGAGGAGGCGGTGGCCGCGGCCTGTTTCATTTGCGTCCATTTGTTTGTTTGTTTGTTTTTGGATTTTGGCTGATTAACGCCAAAACATTACAGGAAGCCACAAATCCAACTCCTTCCGCTTGGCTATATAAAAAGCCATTGTTGGCCATCTGGGCCGCAGTTACACTAAAGATTTGACCGCGTTACCGTCATCGTCGCCATCGTCGTCGTCGTCGGCGTCGTCGTAGTTGTTGTTCAGCCTCATCTATCGCCAGAAAGCGGCGCGTGCGTTGAGGACTATTCAAGGAAATGAGATTCGCAATTGTGAGTGCTCCACTATAACACTAAAAACAAACTATATACAGATATATATATATATGGAGCATTAAAGATCGTTGAGGCGGCTATCGAACGATCTTTGGGTATATATTAACGGGAGCTGTTTTACGTGCTAATTTCCGAAGCTTCACAATCTTCGACTGATCTTAAGACATTTTATATTTACTTGCACTCCGAAATAGCCGAATCTTGACAAAGCCTTAACTTAAAGCTATTTCTCGAGCAATTTACCAACATAGTTTAGCGCGACATTAAAGATTATTATATTATCCAGGAAGTCATTCCAGTTGCCATCAAGAAAAGCAAATACTTTATTGTAAGGCAAACCAATTAGCTCAAAGGTACTTATTTCATATTAAATTGCACCTGAAATTTCTGTTTAAAGACAGCTTCTAGGCTTTCTTTATTAACAACTATTTGCACTCGAAATGGATTTTCTGCTACCGACTACAAAAGCAAATATCTTTTGACTGCCTGTAGGATCTGAACGAAACTCAAAGCAAGATAATTAAGAATGATAATTAAAGCTTAAAACTATTGATTAGCAATAAATATGATCTTAACAGTGTTTATTGCAGAGCATGGGAAACAAAAGCAAGTAATCAACTAAATACGAAGCAAAAATATCTATCTGCAAAAATGAACGAAAATGATTCTAAATATTCCCAAAATACTTCGATGTCTCAGTCCGTCATAGTTCGTAACAAGGCAACACTCTAGCTAATGTTGGATTAAGCATTTATCCATAAATCGTTTTCAAGTTGGCACATAGAATCGTTCAGTGGCCTTACTAACCATGAATTCGATTCCAGAACGAAAGAGAAACTCATCTAAAATCACTTTTGAACCTTATTTTCTAGTCAATGTCGGCACTGGGGCTGCTATTGCTTGTCGGCGTCCAGGGCGCCACTATAATCAGCATTAAGTATCCGCCGGAGGGCGCCGAGGGCCTAGAGCGCAGCCAGCCGGCTAAACGAGATCTGAGTCTGAGCTATGCGGCAACCAACATTGACTCCAAGGAGGGAACGCGCGTCAAGACCATTACAGTGATCAAAAATGTGGGCGGCAGCGGCAGCGGCAGCGGCGGCGGGGAGTCGGGCTCGTCGGGTGCTGCGAGCAATAGGCAAGTGAAGCTGGCTATCAATCCCGAGCTGCACAAGGATGAGGATTGGGCGAATGCGTTTCGTGATAACTTTGAATCCTATGGTGGACTGCCCGAGGTGCCAGACATAGACGAGCTCTTTGATTTTGTGAATGGCAAGAAGACAAGCGCGCCGGCGGCCGGGAAGGAGACAAAGGAGCTAAAGCCCACAGTTGTGGAGAGCTCAACAAAGGCGCAGCCAGCTACGAAGGCGACCAGCGAGCATGCCGAGGATGCGTTGGACAGTGATGAGGCAACCGTGGAGAAGATCAAGGGTGATGCCGAGCTGCTGCCCCACATCAAACAGGCGAACATACTGCGCATGCAAGCGCTGGCACTGAAGCAGAAGCAACAAAGGCAGGAACAAGAACAGGAGCCGTCCAAGCGACTGCGCACGCGCGAATCTCTCATCAATGTCAACTACTCGACGCCAATGCACTCGGTGAGCCAGTTCTTTGAAAACTATGTGCAGGTGCTGCCCAATGGCTATGACTATAGCAAGCCACAGCCTTGCGCTGTGCCGGCGCCGCCGAATAGCATTCAGGTGACGACACCGTCGGGACGCAGCTACGATATACCGCAGAGCAACAGCAGTGGCACCAACGGCGGCGCCAATCATCCCTACTTGGCGCCAGCGCTGGCCAAGCGGACGCAGATTCAGCCAAGCCAACCGACTCAGCCACAGCCACAGGCACAGCAGCCGCCAAACTTCTCCACGGTTAACTCGCTGGTGCCGCCAATTGTACAGCCACAGCAGGGTAATAATCTTCCGGCAAATGTGCCCCAGCAGCAACAGCAGCCCCAGTCCCCGTCTCTGGGTGCAGGTGCAGGTGGAGTAAATGGTGCAAGTGCGGGTGTTGGCGCTGGGGCTTCTACCAGCCAGCGACCTTATGTGGCGCCCAGCCTGCGCAACAATGGTCTGGGCATCAATCGGGGCCCGCCAACACCGCAGCCGCCTCCATTGCCAGCTTACGCAACTGGAAATAATGTCAATGGTGTGCCCAGCTATCGCACCAACTCGTTTGGCGTCAATCGTCCGAACACATTTCGATCGCGTGGCTTAAAATACTAAATACGTACATCAAACTGTTAAACTTACAACTATATTTTTAAGACTTATGTATTTATATATGAATGCAAGCGTATTCCTCAATGTATACACACAAACAACAACACACTCACACACACGCACGCACATGCACACAGGACCAAAAGTACAGGCTGGATAAATCGATAGCGTTGCCAAACTGTGTTGCGAAAATTGCAATCGATGCGTGACGCGATGCGCACTTTCTCTGGCGTGGTAGCCAATAGCTGGGTTTAATTAATTAATAAGGTGCAGAGCAGAACGTTGTAGTTGGGTGTATCCGCTGCTGGCGCTGATTTCTAATGTATTTGTCGTCGCACTAGTACATACATGCATACATATTTCCATACGTATGCATGCATGTTTGTACTTTTATCAATGAACTTTTACTCACCAATGGCAAACCATAAAAACGCAATGCAAACTTATTGGGTACCAATGCACAAAGAGAAGGGCTCGTTTTTTTAGGTCAAACGCTATATTTATTTTGACAATTTCTATAGTTTATCAATGTGAAAATGTGAATTTTCTCTCAGCAACACGGCCTAGTCGACTTCAATTGTAGTAGTAACAAAAAAAAAATGGCGGCCGTAACTATTATCGATACCAAATGATATCGATACATGCTTGTACCGAAGAATACTACGCTGATTCAACTAAATGTACGGTACTCATATATACGCTACCGACTATTATACTGCTTATATTAATAAATGTATGAATTAATATGAGCATGTATTTTTTCTTAATTTCCACAAATTCTTTAGTAGCTTCTTCACTAAAAATCTGCAAGAATCTTAAATAATAATGCATTATTATGTGTATCGTCGTATTGCCATTCACAGGTATTTCATTTAGCTTAGGTCATTTTTACGTTTGTCACGCGCAGTCACACTGTTTTTCATAGGTCAGCACGGATGCTGATTTTTCCAACCGAGGATTTTTTGGTTTTTATATCAAAATTAGTTGCTTTCACGACACAAAATATATTCCCCAACAATTTGTAATCATTTTAAGTCTGTGCGCGCACATTTGACAAGTGAAATTAGAGCCACAAATTCGACATTTTACGCAGTGCAAAAACGCAGTCGTCACACCTTTGGACATCACACCAATACCAACAACAAATACATTAATAAAAGAGAACGGCAAAAAAGCGAACGTAAAGTAAAGCAAAAGGCAAAAAGTCTTTTAGAGAAAAAAGAAAAAAACGAACAGCACAAGTACTACTAGTACTAGTACTTTTCAACGCTTCGATTTTCGATTTATACCGAAAACCTCACGCATAACTTTTTGGAAATATTACGCAAGTATTATTTCTGGGTATATTTGTTAATAATCATGGCTCAATAAAGATGAATCCTCAACGAAAAATAATCGCGCAACGCACTCCGTGTGGAGACAAACGTCAACGCGAGACGCAGTTTGCTGTCAATTGGCAGCAACAAACGGCCAACGCACAATCCCCTCCCATCTTTTTCAACCTTCCCATCAACGAGCTTTGCGGCCTCAGCGCAGCCAAAAATAACAACTACAATGGAAAACAACAACAAGAAGCAACAACAACGTGCAAACAAATCATCTGCTGAAGCTCAACGCAAATCTAGTGGTGAGCACCTTGAATTCTCCAAATGATTTTCTTTTTTATATAAAGCTTAGGTCATTTTTACTTTTACTACGCGCAGTCACACTGTTTTTCATAGGTCATATTAACAACTCTGTCTTTCGATCTCTTCTGCCGACTTTTTTCATAGGTCATATTAACAACTCTGTCTTTCGATCTTTTCTGCAGACTTGTATGTTAACAACAAAACACGCAATTCTCGACGTCGCGAACAGCTTCCCACACCACGCAACGAGCAGCCACAGCGCAGCAACAAGCAACAGCAGCAGCAGCAACAACAACAGCAGCCGGCAAAACTACGTCCCAATGTGGACAAGCGTCCACGTGCCCGCGGTGGCGGCGGCGGCAGCGGCAGTGGCAGTTCCGGTTATGGCCAAGAGTCTGGCCACGGCGATGGCCTTGCATGCGCCGGTACGGATAACACTTATGGCGGCGCCGGATTAGCAGCAGCGGGAGAAGGCTACATGCGTAGCGTTCTTGACTATGAGCTAAACTCTGTGTATGCGCACGGCAGCAAGAAGCAGAATCTGAACCATCTGCTGAACTTTCATTGTGTGCCTCGCGAGACGTCATCCTCATCGGACTGGCATGCGACTGGACATGGTGGTGCTGTGTCGACGCGCCGTCAACCACGTTACAACAAGGAGCAGTTCTTGCAGGCCAACTTTCAGTTTGTTATACGCAGCAGCTCCAAGGCCCAAGTAAATGGCTCGCCGGACACGCTGATCGATTGGAATCTAATCGAACAGATCAATATACACTCCACCGAGGAGCCGCAGTGTCCCATTTGCCTCTATCCGCCGGTGGCTGCCAAGCTCACCCGCTGCGGCCACGCCTACTGCTGGCCCTGTCTGCTGCACTATCTGTCACTGAGCGACAAGACCTGGCGCAAGTGTCCCATCTGCTATGATGCCATCCATGCTGCAGATTTGAAGAGCTGCACCATCGAGCAGCAGCACGCCATGAATGTGGCTGATACCATCAGCTTTCAATTGATGCGTCGTCGCAAGGGTTCCATGTACATTGAGAGCTATGCAGGCGCAGCCGCTGCTGCTCTAGAGCCGCACGAGCGTTTCCCGCTGTTGGGCGCCGCAGATGAGGCTAAACGTTTCTCTAAATTTTTGATTGCCAAGCGGCCGGATATTGCGGCCATTATTGAACGTGAACGCCGTGAACTATGGGCAGAGTCCGATGTGTCCTGTCCAGAGGATATTTTCATACAGCAGGCGCTGCTGACACTGAATGAGCGCTGCGAGAAGCTGGGCTTGGAGCCGGAGGAGCAACAGCTGCCACAGCAGCCCCAGATGGTAGAAGAAGAGCAGCGACAAGCTAAGACTCCAGATATTGATATTGAGAGGCCAGACGATGCCTCCGTTTCTTCCTTAGGCGAGGCGAGCAACAGCAGCAGTTCCACAATCAACAGCAGCAACAACAACAACAAATATTATTATTTCTATCAGTCGAATGATGGGCAGAACATCTACTTGCATCCATTGAACGTGAAAATGCTGCAGGCTTGCTACGGCACCTTGGATTTGGCACCCGTGCTGATTAAGGCGCAGATAATACAGAAGGAGCATCACTCCATGGACGAGGAGCATCGTCGCAAATTTACGTGCTTGGGCCATTTGCCTCTGACCTGCCAGTTTGCAGTTGTCGAGGTGGAGCTGCAGCCACCAATTATTTCGGGCAGCATACTCAAGTTATTCAAGGGTAAGTGTGCCACAGAGTATAAGCATCGAGTCGCTGCTAACTAGTTCTCTCAATCCTGCAGATGATCTACTTCATCGCCAGAAGGAGCGTCAGCGTCGTGAGCGCGAGGAACGCAAACGTGAACAGCACATCAATGAGATAAACGATCGCCAGATGGGCAAACTTATTGCCAGTGCAGCCAATTTGAATCTAAACTCTAGCCACGAGTTTCCCACTGTGCGTCATTGAGCAGTTGCATCCTGTTTTGGTTGTTCCTTATTCCATATTCTTATCTTTGCAGTGTGGCTTTGAGGAGGATTTGCCGGCACCTCGAGGCGCCATGCCCATTACAATTGCTCAGGCAAGCGGCCCTCGTTACTCCAGTGTGGCTGCAAGTCCCAAACAGGAGCTGTGGCCCACCATTGGCAGTTCATCCCCCGGTAACTCCTCGGGCTTGCGTCATAGTTCATCGGACTTCCACATGGGAGCCTGGGGTCTCGCTGCGCCACCGCCACCACCCGTAAACCGAGCAGCCGCTGTTGTTGCCAGTCGTTCCACACTGGATGAGGAGCATGAATTGCGTGCCGTTGGACCTTGGGCGCTGGGCGAATTACTTGTGGGCGCCTTGGGTCAGCAGAAGCAGCAGCGTGCGGCCAAATCGAATGTTGCTCCAGTGGATGCCGTTGCCAGCAAGAAGCAGAAGAAGGCCAAAGGCAAGAAAATGGTGCCCCTGTTCGCTGTGGGCATGAACAGAGCTCCGTAAATCAATCCCAGATGACATTGATCCCTGGCATTATTATCCAATTAACACAATCTAAAACATCGTAGTAAGAAATTTTTGTTAGTGCGCGCCAAAGTCGCGGGATTATTTCAACGTTATTACAAATAACTTTTTCTGAACCATAAAACCTTTATAATTTAATTAAACCATATTCATATGTATTTCGCATTAATATATATATATAACAATATATAATCCAATAAAGGCAGCGAGAGCATGGCAAAAAGTTGACTTTTTCCTTTTCTTTCATATTTTAAAAAACATGTTTAGAATCCTTTTAATTTCGCTTTCATTCCAATTTTTATTTTTCAAAAAAATATTCAACAAAGCTTTTCATTTTTATCGTTTGCAAACTGAGTTTTGCAAATAATTTTCTTGCTGCGAATGTGTGTAGTTGTATATATTGTGTTAATGTTGGTTTTAGCTTACGCGAAATAATTAAATATAAATAATTCTATATTGTTTATGTTCACGCAAAATCTTTAAGGCTTAATACAAAAAATGAGTCTTGCGTTGGTTTTTGTTTTTTCACAGCATTTTTTATGCCGTGCTTAGTTTTATAAATCGTGTAGGATTTGCTTTTGCAGCTGCGGCTCCGTTCTTTTTGTTTTAAATCTAAAATTGGCTACAGGTTTCAATAAGAAAGAGCGCAGATTGGTGGCAACAGGTAGGAGGAGCGAGTGCAGTTGCAACTAAATCTAAACTGTTTATAAAATACCATTTAGAGATACATTTCTAGAAAATTGTGTACGCGTGGGCAACAGGACGACGACGCGATGACGAGGTTCGCACCGCTTCTCAACAAATGATATGCCTCCGATTATCGCACGAAAAAACAATTTAATAAATATACAATAGCTTTAAGAGAGAAAGTGAAACTAGCCAAATATGAAAACGGTTGTGCTTGCAACACACTACAACTAATTCAATTGCTGCGCCGCTCGACAAACTCCGCATCGAAGACAGCATCATCATCATCATCGTAGTCATCCGGCGAGGAGGCAGCCGCCGAACGACTCTGATAGCTGGGCCGTGCCAGCGAGTAGCGCTGTTTGCTGCCATTCAGGGAGCTCGTGCTGCCGCCGCTATATTCGGCGGGCAGTTCCAAGTATTCGTCGGAGTCGTTGCCATCGTTATCCAAATCATCGCCGTTGACAGAGCCGGACGGGCTGCCGGGCGGGCTGAGCGCCTGTATGAGTTTGCCCTTGGATTCGTTCCACAGATGATTCAGACGCTCGCGGCCGAAGAGCAGCAGAAATGTGTCAATGAATTCGCGTGATTTTTCCTCCCATTTGGTGATGATGTCGCCCTTGACTTTGGTTAATTCGCGCTTGCCACGCGACTTGAGCTCATCCATTTTATTTTGCAAACGGAACTTCTTCTCGGATAGGAAGGATACGTTTAGCTCCTTGGCGGAATAGCCGCGTGCCAGATTGCGACGCACATACAAATCATAATCCTTAACAATACGTGCCACAATGTCCGACGTGGAGACGCCCTCGGTGCGTTCCGTGGCCACAAACATGCCGCGCGCCTTAAGCGGACCATAAATATCATCCAGGCCGTCGTGGCCATAGGGAATGTCATCGTGTGCCACAAAGTCAATTTTGTTATCGGCTATGAACTCGTCCGACAGCGTCCAAGGGGCATTCTGCACAATCTGTAGACAAGGACAAGCAACTAGTTTAGTATGAGGGGTCAATATTTTGATATGGGCACATGCACACACACCTCGTCCACGTAACGACAATGACGCACGCCCTCGTAGCGCTCGAAGCCGTTCATGACGGTGCGTCCCTTCATGCGATGCGTGAGCTCATCGTTGCAAACGCCGACAATCAAATAGACATTGGGAAAGATATTCTTGGCCTGCATCAGTTGCCTGGCATGGCCCTGATGGAACAGATCATAGATGCCATCCGCATAGACGCGCACCCGACGACTCGTCTGCCCGGAGCGGGCCATTTGATAGGTAATCCGGTTTGTATAATCGCAACGTTCGCGCTCCAAAATCGCCTCCTCATCGCAGGAGAACGGCGCTGGCTTGCAAATGGTCTGCAAAACAGTAAGAATAGAAAGCGAAACTTAGTCAACGGGGTTTGACGGATAGTTTCCTCCGGATTGTGGCGCCCCTTACGAATTCCTTAAAGTCCATGTGCAGTGGCAACATTTTGTACTCGAACATCTCTGGCGACGGTGGCGCCTCTTCTTGCTCAGACATTATTTTTTTTCAATTTTTTTTTTTTATCAAATATATTTATATATAGATCTATTTATATAGCTGTCGGATCAGAGTACAAATATGATCTGATTGGGTTGCTTACAGCTGTCTAACTGAGAGCTCCAATTGCTGGGACTTTGACAACAACAAATGCTCGGCTCACTGCGACCAAGTATCTAAGTGAGTGTGAGTGTGTGTGCGTGTGTGTGTGTGTGCCTGTTTCTTTCGAGGATTGGCAGCGGCGTTACAATTGCGCAGCGGCTTTCAATTAATTGGCGGCAACTGCCTACAAATCAATACAATTGACTACAATAAAAGTGGACAACGGACACGGCAGCGGGCGCCGCTCGGCTCGGCTCGACACGGCCTGCCCCCGGCTAGGCTAGCGACTGCTCCGGCGACGACAAATTTCAATTGCCGCAAATTGAGCGCACAAATGCGAAGCTCTTGCACGTATATTTATAGAGCTATGGCAAAAGGGAGGATCTGGCACGAGGCAACAGGCGATATCATACGATATAACTGACAATCAGCGTCAATCAGACTCGCAGCGCGGAAGATTGAATGCCAAAAAAAAAACAAAAAAACAAAAAATGTTTTATCACTTGGCCATGAATGGGCAGCAATTCTATTTCCGAAAATATCCTAACCAAAATATATATGCACTTGTTTAACTTGAAAGCAACCTAATCGCGTGGAGCACAAATGAAACTGAACTTGACCAAGTTTCGAGTGTGTGAAATGTAATTCAAATAATATTACAAAAAAGTAGGAAAAGCATATGGTTTGAGTAAATTGAACATTTGCCACTAATATTGCCAATTATTAAGTTAATAACTCATTTCGAGCAACGCAAACAAAATAAAAGTAAAAGCTCATAAATTAAACAGGGGAAAAAAACCACAGACATCTGACATGCATATACATATATATATATATATATATATTATAAATCTGTGTCCATATCGAAATCGTTTCACGCTCGAATAATCAAAGCATGGCCAAATACATGTATTTGCAGCAAAACAGAAAATGAAAAAATTGCAAAACTAAGGAGGCCAAAATGTATATCGAATGCCTTTTCCAAACGCTTTTTAACAAATCCGTTAGTTAATAACAATTGCACAACGAGTATTAACAAAAAAAATAGGGTATAACTTGTTTAAAAAAGTTATCACAAAGTAGCTTAAATCAAATAAAGGGTATAATGGATGTAACACTACCGAAGAGAGAGGAATATCTTTGATATCATTTCGTATATTTAAGTTATTCTATCCCTGTTTAGAGACATGAAGATCTGGAGACCTAAAAGTGGTTACTCTACAGGTTAATCAAGTTTCTAATTTTCGATAAATATCGATTTCTAGTCTACATTCCGTTTAGATCAAGAAAATTGATCATTTTCGATAGTTCGTTAAGCAAGCATCGCTAAATATCGATTTTTAGTGCTGCACAGATCAAGAATATTTCACGTTTTAAATGCCAAATCCAGTTCACTAGTTACAGGGTATCTCGAAGTTGGTCATTATGCACTATACAAATACTATATACATACTTAGTATAGTTGTAGAAGTTGGAATTTACTAATTTCTGAGCTGATAATACCTAATAATAATATCTCTTGGCTAGTTACAGAACAAAGGCGCAATTGCTTAGAAATTGTTCCGGGCAACGGTTTCTTTATATACGCCCCCCGCCCACTGCTCGAATCATTGCATCGGGTTGGAGGGGGCGGGTAGGCGAGCTAACGATGATGCAACATCGTATGACCTTGTCAAGGACATTTCGTTTGCACTTACCGCTAGATCGGCAAAGCCGCTGCTATTGGACGCTTGGTGGGAGGTGGATGCGGACGTCAGCGTTGGTGCGGAGAGCAGCATGGGCGGCGGCTGCGCCGAGGGTAATTTCGTGTTGAGCGCCAGCAGGAGGGATGTTGCCGAGGGCGGCATATACTTGCGCTTTACGCCGGCGCTGCCAGTGAGATAGTCTGCCGCCGCTGAGGTGGAGCAGGAGGGCAGGGTGTCGTCAGGTGAGGTCGCCTCGTTGCCATCATCGGCATCGCTCTGTGAGATTGTGCGCGTTGAGTCGCGCAATGTGGTGGCTGCCTGTGGGCCATTCATGTCCACAATTACCGCCTCATCGGGCATTGGGCTACTCGATTTGGCTGAGGGCGTGGCTGTGGCTGTGCGTGCTGTTGTCGTCGTCGTCATCAGTTCTTTGGCGTCCATGGCAGGCATGCTAATGGCTGTTTCGTAGGTGCGCTTGCGTGTGCTCAGCGTAGATGTGACCACGACGGCGGCGGCGGCGGCAGCGGCAGCGGCTGAGCCCGCGTTAATAGTGCTGTTGGTGTTATTGGCGATTATCGATGAAGTTGCCATCGCAGCGTATCTTTTGCAACGGTCGCGGCAGTTTTTCTGATTCCCAAGAACTTGTACGATAATATGGAACTCTTTGTTGTTGTTGCTGCTGTTGTTGTTGTTCTTATTTATTGCACCGACAAACTGAAAGAGCGTGAAAGTGTATACATAAATAAATATGTAAATACATGCATAAACAAGTGTGTACATATGTAATTTTCTGTAACTTATTTGTGTGTGTGTGTTTGTGTGTGATTGGCGTTGCTTCTTCTTGCCGGCTGTGGCGCATGAGACACGTGATATTTCAATTGCATTGCTGCCGGATGCCATGGATATATCAATTCGCTTTAATTGACATTCGTTTCGTTTTGCCACGCGCTTTCATGCGAATTTCTTTCAAAAACCTGCAGCAGATAAATAAAAACGACAATCAAAGCGACGGGCAAAAATGTCAAAAACAATCACATTTTGGCACGTACTTAGCGTACAGCAATTAATCAGAGAGCATAAGAATCAGAAGAGCAGTAGGTGATCGAGAGGGAGAGAGTGGGAGTAAGAGAGCGCGCTCAATTGGAGACAAGTGCGAGTGCGAGTGTGAGTAAAGTGGAAAGTAAAACCTGACACAGAAAGTTGAACAGGCCCGTTCTTGTTATGTTCACAATATAAAATTAGTATTCACAAAACACATTTACAATGTATTAATTAATGTAAAAAAAAACGCACGTGAACACACACAAGTGTTCACACAACTTGTGCTGTGTGAGCGCGAAGCAAATATAAGTTTGACGATCTCTCTCTCTCTCTCTGTTTCTCCCACACACACACAGGCACGCTGTGAAGAATCAGCTGTTGAGTGCGTGTTTTCTGGCATTTTTAAATATATCCAACGCTCATGAAATATTTATATAGTTTGCTTAGAGCGCTGCCTGGCCTTGATTTGCCATATTACGTCAAATTATTTTTTTGTTTGTACTAAAGAGCATTAGCGCTTCTTATCGGCTTGATGATAAGCTTATACGGAGAAAGAAAACCAGGCCATAGACCAACAACAATGTGGTAAAGGTATTCCGTTCAAGGCAGCTAATGCTAATGCTGCAGCTGATTCATGCATATGCGAAAACCGGCTCCAAACTTGCCAATTCTGTGGCTGCGTGCGCTCGTTCAAGTTCAAGTTGGTTTTACAAAAAACTGGATTTTATGGCACTGATGTAATCGTTATTTTTACTCTGCGCTAGAAGAAATTGTGAAATTGACACAACAATAAAAAATAAAAACAAACAATAAATTTGTTGCCAGGCAGCAAGGAAAGTCGTTACGCGTATAAGAGCTGCGGACAACTTTTGCACTGTGTTCAAAGGCAACGCAGGCAGTGACGTCACAATCGAACGTCAGCTCAGTCATACGATCGGCGCGAACTCTCACACGCACAAATACACAAGACACAGCCTGCCAGTGTATACACACATATACACACAAAGTATGTGCGAGTCAGAATGTAAACAAACTGAGACCAAGTGAGTACATGGTTACGTGTTATTGCGAGCAGAGCGCATCTGCTAATTGAGAGATGTCCGTCTCAGCAATGATAAGATAGGCCGCTTCTTGGCTACCTGTTGTCTTATCTTTAATTTTTGACGTTGAAACATGTTTCCGCTGCACTCTGTACATAAGTTAATGAGTTCCCGAATGACGATACTAAGTAAATAGATAAAGTAGTATTTTTTGTGCTTAGCTAGAAATTAATATATTGATTCAGGCACGAGCTTGTTGATAAGCAGCAACCCACAGCGATAACAGCTCGGGTGGATCTACATAAGTATGTATGTATATAATATGTGTACTACATATTTTTAATAAGCGGACCTTGCAAAATTTCCAACACGCAACCATTGCTCAGAATCGTCATCGGAAACGTCTCTGGGCCTTAGCCACGATACGGGGTTAACGTACGCGTCTCGCGTTTCTTTCGGACTTGCTAAAGTTAAGCTACCAAAACTGGGTGGAAAGGCCAAGCAGAAGAAATTAAATTTTTACCTTACGTTTTCGTAGAAGTTTCGTTCGGCTTCAAAGTACAGTTGGCACGTTGAATCCACGTTAACACGGGTTAGGAGTACTGTTATTCATTGATAAGCTGCTGTTCGTTGCCTGTTGCTATATATAGATCACAAATATACTACCATATGAGCACATGTGCATTGATAACCCCACAGTTGCCACCAGGCATTATCATCATTCAAAGAAAATATGCCCAAAAAATATAACATATGTGCGGCGCACGTAACTGAAATTGGAACTTGTCCGGTGACGCTGCACAACAGCAAAGCTATACTATATTGCTTATGGAAAATTAATTAAGTTAAACGTAATTAATATCTTTTACTGTAAGTACGTAATTAACATTTTCGCAGTTGGGCTAGCGCACGTGTTCATTGCATAAAAAGCGAGATAGGGAGTTATTAGCGGTTTTTAATTGCGGCATTTAAACACCTATTGTAAATGCTGTTCGATACGTGGCTAATCTGAAATTTGCAATGCACAAAGTCAAACGAAATTCGATTTCAAATGTTTGTACACACTGACAAGTCTGCACACGCAAATACGCACACACGCACAATATTCACCCACACATGACTGACGATAAACAGTTTCATTGAGTAACTGAAACAGCTGACTAACTGTGCGTGGGCTTCACATGCGTACGCCACGATCAAACTCTCTCTCTCTCTCTCTCTATCTCTCTCTTCCTCTACCGCCTCTTTCTGTTGCGCTTTTGCGCGTACATTCATAGTTTTGAGACCAGAGTTGAAATTAGGCAACGGTAAAAACGTATTGAGTGGCCGCTTGGGAAAGTGGAGCACGAACGCAGCTGGCAGAGGGTATGCGACAGCGGCAGCGGCAGCGACGTCAGCGTCAAGCATGAGTAATGTGTGCGCATTGCTTAGGTTATTATTAAATGTGTTTTTAGTTTTTTTTTCTTGTTCGCAATGCCATCCAACAATGACGAATGCCAACTTTAAAATCGTACGATCAGAGCACAAAGTTCGTTAGCAGAGGTCCCACATAACACAGAAAAGGGCAACGCGATAGAGAGAGAGAGAGAGAATGAGATTGAGAGAGAGCTGAAAGCAGCAACGCCAGCGCCAACGCTGCGCGTTGCAAGTGCCACAACAAACCCGTGAAAGTCATACGATGCCGAGAAATGACGTGGCGGCGGCGGCGGTTGTCTATGTCCAGGGGATGGGACAAGGCGGATGGGACTGGCGTCGCCGCGCCGGTTGTAGCACAAATCGATGGCGCAGCAGCAGCTGTTGTGCGAATGCATCAAAAATCTGGGGGCTGGCGGCGGTATTATGTAACTATCCGGGCCTTGGCAGCGAAATCAACCCATAAAGATGCATATTTCGTGGGCCACGCAGCTATTAAATGTAACGAGAACAATCCCAATCCAGCGCTGCCCAAATATGCCAAGAGAGCAGACAGAGTTTGAGAGAGAGAGAGAGAGAGAGAGAGAGAGGGTAACTGTTCACGTCACGGGCAGCGCAACGTCATCGCCAATAGGCAGGGAGTAGCAGCCGCGGCAGTGCGTCGTTTTGTAAATATTTGTGCACAAACATTTTTGGTGTGACCCAAAGACAACAAGAAACATTGCACACACTATAACAAAAGAAAATTCAGGGCAACTTACTTTCAACTTTTTCTTTCAAATTTAGCTTCAATATTTTGGCTAAAAATCGATGAGTGTTCGTGGCACAACGTTGTATTATATATAATTTCTGTCTGTTCTTTTCACACAAAATGACGCACTGCGAATAAAATTGTTTTATGTAGCACTGCGCCTGGTGGCAATTGGTAGCTGTCGACGATGCTTATCTTGTTAATATTGCTTTTTGTTGATTGTAGTAAATTGTACAAAGCTTATATGTCCGCGTCTGTCCGTCGCAACGAAACGAGTGGGAATCGCGCTCACAGCAACTGGCATTTGGCGTTGCCACACTGTTAACGCCACCCACCGGTTAATGGCAATTATATCGATAGTTTAATAACACGTTGCCACTAGCTACATTTTATAATCGAATACTAATTAGAGCATCTGTTTTATGATCTATATGTGTTATGACTATCTACATAATTTGATTAGAGTTAAAAATCAAACTAAATTATTGCTAAGCTATTAACCACACTGCGAATCTGTTTCAGTAATACAAGTATCGTCCAAAAGCAACTATAGAAATTGCTTTTTTAGGTTATCGATATTGCCGAAGCGAAACGTACTTTCGGGGAAGTACTGAATATCGTTAGTTTTCTTAGTTTCTTTTATACACTTCAATTTAATTGAAATTGACAATTAGCCGAAAATGTTGGCTTTATTGTTGCTGTCTTTTGTATATATTTATTGACACTCAATAACTTTGTAAATGTTTTCATTTTTGGCTAAATAAAATATAAAAATAAAGCTTGATATCAACAAAAACACCATGTTCTTAATTTCAATAATAATATCATAATATTGACAATTTTCGTGTCACAAAACTAAAAATCTTTGGTGTATATAAACTAAATGGAAAACTAACGTTCAAAAATAAATTCACTAACTTAGAAAACGTTACAAAGATTTTTTGATGATACATGTTGATGTAATAGCTTAAACGCTAATAGCTACGCAATTGCATATTGAACAACACTTTTAGAATTATTTGGGATTAATTTCATAATTGCACAGAATTTTGTTCAACTTTGGCTTCACATTGACTTTGAACACTTGGCAAGCGTGTAGATGGCAAGTGTTTGGATTAGGATTAAAAAGGATGACAAGTCTTTAGCTTACATAAAACTAACAACGAATTCGAGTTACAGAGATTCCCCGTGTGATTCCATGTACTGTTAGGGCATATGTATATGAGTATTCTAGGTCACTGGTTGCAAATGTCTGTGGGTAAGTGTGGATGCGGGCTAAGTTGAGCCACGGTTCAGCACTGGGATGGAATGCGTATGCCCTGGGTTATGGAGTTCTCCAGCACGATGTGGCAATCATCAAGCGGCTCCAGAATTTGTATGAGAAATGTCAAAAGATTGCGACGACGCAGAAAACTCTCCTCCTCGTACAGCTCTTGGGTGACCTTCGTCAAGGCCATCGGCTTAATAAGACGCGTCAACAAATGCTCCCTGCATATAGAGAACCTTATTAAAGGAAAAACCCAAAGAAACTTCATTTAATTACCTCAGGCTAAGGCAAATGAGCAGTTGAAATTTGCCATCCTTTCCCAGTGTGCTGGCCGTGCCATTAATCTCATCCATGAGCTGCACATACAGGCGCCAAATGCTGGCTATCTCACGTCGTTGCAGGCTATTTGAGCTGCCATTGCTAAAGGAGGAGTCCATGCTGGAAGCCGAGTCATCGAGCTCCTGTTGTAGATTCTGCTCGAACAGCTCCTTGATTTTAGCTGCAAAGTGGAGACACGCAACTAAAACACATCAAGATCTGGATTTTAGTCCACTTACTAAAGTAATCCCAGATGTATAGATTACGTCCAAAGAAGCGCGACGAGCGAAAGCCGCAAAGGAAGACCAGCTCCAGGCATTTAACCAGCCCATCATCGCCGCACAGCAGGTTCGTCAGCGTGCCCACATCACGATCCCGACTCGGCTTGTAGTGCCACTTGACAATCACATTGACCAAGTTGCCCAGCTGATGTTGTATCTCCGATGGCGCCACCGATTCCTGACGCTGCACGCTGGGACTGCGTGTACGCGGCGGTGTCCGCGTGGGCGGCAAGAGCTCGGCATTTTTTACACTGGTGCAAACGCGCTGACCAACCAGCAAACGTTCCGTGGAGTCGTCATCGACGCCCTTGCCCAGCCAGCGACTGCAGGGAAATCTAAAATATTGCTTGTTTAGTTTATATTTAAATGTGTGTCATATGTGTGGTGCTCACTTGTAGGTGTGGCCGGTGACCTCATTGCGCATGACCACCTGTTCGACCAGCCACTTGTGACTAGGTCCCGAGTTGTCGTGTCCTATGCGCATGGTGGTCAGCAGTCCCAGATTCTTATACTACAATAAGCGAGTATTTAGAGAGTTTTCAAAGAATTACATTTTACATATTTACGACTCACATGGAAGATAAACTCCAGTGAGCCCTTGGGCACGGGCACTCGTTGGGTTTCATTCATGGTGCCAGAGACCATGATCCACACATTGCTGGAGGTGTGATAGGAGCCATGTTTACGCGAGGGGAAGATGACAACGCGATAGGGCAGCTCTAAGCAAAGGCGTGGAAAAAGGCGGAAAGAGGCAATGTAAATCTCATTTGGCTCGAAAGGAAATCTCATATGTAGCGCAACCTACTCGTTGTGGGATAAATGTTGGTAAAACTGAAATAGTCCACGGTATTCAGTGTCAGCAGATGATAGAGGAACTGCTCCTTCTCCTCCTCGCAGCGCAGAAAAGCGGAGCGCTTGTACAAGGTGCGCAGCAGACTCTCATCCGAGAGAAGCGTGCGAAAGTGACGCGACAACAGCTTCTTCTCCAGGGACAGACGCACCCAGGCGCGTGTATAACCAATGTGCGTTTTGATGTCAGCCATGGCCAGCACGTTTCTAGGCACAGAGAGAGGGAAGATGTTAATATAAGCAGAAAAAACCGGACAAGCTCCAAAAAAAAACCCACTTGACATCAAACTCCAGCGACTCAGGCAACGGGCACAGCTGCTCCAGGCCCACAAACTTGTTGCGATCCCGTGAACGACTGCGATTCGGACTGGGCGGACTCTCAAAGTCCGTTTGGAATGTGGACAAGTCTGTTAAGCAGCGTAAAAAGCTATGTAAGATACGAGTAGTTACTTGCCAAGTGCTGACTATACTTACAATCCATGCGCTTGCGCATGGCATTCCAGGCCAACGCTGGCGAGGCGCTGGCAATGTTCATCTTGTTGCCGCCGGGACTGCTGGAAACTGGCGTTACGGGCTCCACGCTGCAACCCGAGCCGCGTGAGTCTTGCTGCTCCAGATAGGCCTGCAGGTGCGCCCAGAGCGCCGACTTGCCTTGCTTATTCTGCAGGCCATGCGACCAAATCTTCTCCAGCAGATCACACATGCTCGCTATGAGCGTGTTCTCCTCAATGCCGTCGCCCTTGAGGCCCAGCGCCACCGCCTCGTTGCCCATCTTCTCGAGCAGCATGCGCTTCGTCTTTGACTTGATGTCCTGCCAACGCCAGATATTTACAGCAGGAGCAGAGCAAGGGCTTGTGTGAATACTCTAGTTACCTTCAGCAGACGCTCCACAAATGTCCAGTTGGCCTGTGCTATCAAGGCGGGACTCACGTCTGCCGTGGTCAGATTGGCCGACAGACGATTGATGGCCACGTTGGAGTTGCAATTGCCGCTGCTGTTGACCGGCTTCTGATCCAGGGATATTTCACGGGCGCGCCACTTGTTGCCATTCTTGACGCGTCGCAAGCTGTTGCCTCTGTTTGGGGATTGGTTTTTGGTTCGTTTTTTTTTTGTTTTTTAATTTATGAAGGTTAGTGGCATGAGATTGAAGTTTTTAGTGAAATTTTGAACAGAACATAAGATATCATAAAGATTTGGATTAATTGAGGGAACTAAAAGTGTAACCAAAATGCAGGGAGGATCAAGGATCGAGGATTTGTGTGTGCGCATGCGGTGCAAAGAGCAAAAACGAGAAAAAAAGAGATGCATTTAAAGTAAAAAGAAACGAAAAATTTAACAACAATTGACGAACTGTTTGTTGTTTGTTTTGTTGAGATATGCAATTTATTGGTTTAAGTTAAAGTTAATCAATAAATTAAGGTACAAAATAAAACAACCGTAGTACGAGTAAATGCTACTGGAAGACGGCTAAACAGTCTAAACGGAAACTACATAATACATATGCCAACAATCAAAGGCTTCAGCTAGGGAACAGAGGGGGAAGGGGGCAACATAGTGGAGGGAAATGTAAAATGATGGGGCTAACAATTTGTGCAACAGGTGGAAAGGGAGCGTGCTTTGGGTTTTGGGGGGGTGGCAAATTGTACAAGTGCATAGAACACTACCTCGAGGCGCACTCCTGATTCAGCACGCCCTTCTCGAGCAGCGGAAAGCTGCGAAAATAGGCGGCGCGATTGGATAGAATCTCACTTGGCGGCGTCACCTCAATGTCAACGCAATTGAGTCGCTTCTCGAAGCACTGCTGCGAGTCTGGGCTGAGCACGCACGGCTCGTAGCTGGTGGCGCAGATCATGTTCTCGCCATGGCGACGTCTGTGAAGTAATAAGACGAGTATAATAAGTATATCATGAGTTGAAGGGGAGCAGGAAGTGCCTACCGTAGCAGCTTGATGCGCTGATCGAAAAGCTGCAGTTGCTGATCGGGCAGCGGCTCCCACATGGCCAGGATTTTGTTGTCAATGAGCGTGGCGAACATTTGAGATTCAAGGAAACGCGAAAGAAAGGCGCGATGATGCTCCGGCTGATCGGATAGAAACGAGGACTTATCAAAGTTCTGCAACGTTTCCCGATTCGAGAGCCACTCGTCCTTGGCCTGATTCGGATAGATGACAAAGTGTTCGTACGCATGAAACATGTGCGCGAAACGATTCAGGAAAATCTCGCGTAAACAGTTATTTATGCGCAAATCCTGATAGTATTGATCGACGGCAGACAGCGTCGCCGGCTTCTCAGCGCGCCGCGACAACGAGCCCATGCGCGAGGGCGGTAGTGTGGCATCCACGGCATCTACATCATGATAGATGCCCACCGGCGACGAGGACAGCGACAGCGTGGGGCTGCCCACGGGCGAGCAGCTACCGCCCTGTGTGGCACGCATGCCGCCCTTGCGTCGCAGAATATCAGCAATGCGCGGCACATGATCTATTTTCGAGGGATGCGCCACCAGCGGCTGATAATCCACGCCCGGCAACTGTGCCGGTGAGCC